ATATAGAGATGAAGAATCATTCTCTAAAGTGGCATGAGGAGATGAAAATCCATCTAAAACATCAAATGAGAGTTTGGATCAAAACCCAACTCTAGAGGAGAGGAAACTTAAGTTTTTTACAAAGCTAAAATTGTATTTATAAAGAACAAAAACGGAACTGGTCTGCATCTATCACTTGCGCTCAACGCCTGTGCTCAATGTGGAGCACTGGTTTGAAAGGTGAGAAATCTGGTCTGCAACATCTATCACCTACTCTCAACGCTTGTGTTCAATGTGGAGCACTATTTTGGAAGGTGAGATTTCTAAAATCTTTTTGCTCATTTTTTCAATCCACTTGAAACTTCTTTGCTCCACATAAATTTTCTCATCTTCTAACATCCAAATTGGCTCACCAAAGTGTTCTCCAAGTGCTAACTTTAACCAACTCTCCAAAATACCTAAATAGAAACAAAAATGCACAAAATGCAAAGAAATGGATCCTAGACTCTAAAATGATGTTAAATATGAAATAATACTCTAAGATGCAAAGAAACACACTAATATAATGCATAAAGATACCAAATGCACATGAATGTATTCCATGTAAATGCACAAAATCACAATACATCAATAAATTCGGTACTGTGGAAGTCTTTCAATCGGTACTATGGAATCATTTCTATAGTTGTTGTCGGAAAGTCGTTTGCACTTTCTTAATATGGTTTGTAAAATGTATTCTTTTAAACATTTTCATGTGCAGCATTAATCATGTCGCTACAGTCACTTTGATAATATAAATAAATTTAAAATTTAAATTGAGTTTTCATCTATGTTTTCTTCTAAATTTGATTAGCTGGAAATATCCTAAATATTTTAGTAAATACTGTTTGCTATTATTAGTTAAAAATTTGGTAATATATGATTAGTTCAAAATTACCTGAACTAATCATATATTACCAAATTTTACATAAATCTTGTTTAATAAATTTTACCTTAACTAAACATATATTTATTATATACGTCACTTTTTTTTGTAACGTATATTGTAAAGTAAAGTTCTATGCTTAAAAAAAAAAGTATACTGTAAAGTTAAAACTTGTATCATTATTTTTAGAAGAATAAGAACAAACCCGTCTCATTGCAATACCTAAAATAATTAATGCCTAATTATATGGATATATAAATTACATATGTGCACATATTGGCACATATTAGCATGAATTTTAATATACATATAGGCTTATAAAGAATTAACAAGAGAGTATATACCTAATAATAGATTCCGCATATCAACTTAGTTTTTATTTTATTTTTGTTCAGCAATCTATTCTATAAATTTCCAACATTTCTGCATTCATACCACCAGTACCATCTCTTCAATCTCTCTCACCCTGTCAAGCTACAACTTAACGAGAAGGTGAGTTAAATAGATTTGTATGGAAATTTATTTCTAATTATAATCATCAGCATTTTTAGCTTTTAAATCTGTTGTGTTTAGTTATTTAACATGTTGTCTCCTAATGAGACACATTCGTTTCTCTTGTCCTTTCTTTAAGTCTTTGAAACCCTAATAAAGAGTTAAACTAGTATTTCCTCCTATCCGACAAGAGGATCAGAATGTCTTCACATAACATTAAATCCAATATGTATATTTGCTAGAAATATATCAATGCAAAAGTATTAAATTCTATTGCGTGAAAGCAGGAGAGACAAGCAAAGCGGAGATGGCCGAACAGCAACTAGGAGTGCTAAAGGCACTCGATGTTGCGAAAACGCAACTTTACCATTTTACGGCGATTGTCATCGCCGGTATGGGTTTCTTTACTGATGCCTACGATCTTTTCTGTGTCTCTCTCGTGACCAAGCTCCTTGGCCGCCTCTACTACTTCAATCCGGCCTCAGAGAAGCCTGGCACACTTCCCCCTCATGTTGCAGCTGCGGTCAACGGTGTGGCTCTCTGCGGGACCCTTGCTGGTCAGCTTTTCTTCGGATGGCTCGGTGACAAGCTCGGAAGGAAGAAAGTGTACGGTATCACTTTGATCATGATGATTGTGTGTTCCGTCGCTTCCGGTCTCTCCTTCGGTAGCAAAGCCAAGGGAGTCATGACCACTCTTTGCTTCTTCAGGTACAAGTTTCATCCAATTATTAATGCATCATATATATACACATGATTTACCAATAATCTCACAGTTTTAAATACTAGTCTGTTTCCGCTTGATATATATTTAAAAAAAAAAAATTGTTAACGTATAATTATTTT